AGCCTATCTATATTGGCTTTGGAAGTCTTGTAAGTTAACCACTGCTAATTTCCTTTTTCTACTATGAGTGTAAGCTACATGGGATTCAAAAACTGAAATTTTATACTCATTTAAGTCGGCTTCTTAAGTATCATACTTACTTTTTAAAGTCCTGTATGTATTTCAATAACCGCCACTCATTTCTTTCTTGCTACCCATGAGTCGACATACCTACATGGGATTCAAAATCAACTGAAATGTTATGCTAATTTATATGGGCTTTTGAAGTATTGTGCTGACCTTTTAGTGACAATTTTCTCAAGATATTAAGTATTTTTCACAGCCTGTTCAAGAACCTGAAAAAATGACCGAGATAATTGTTCAAGCTCTAGAAATGACTGGACAAAGAGGTATCATTAACAAAGGCTGGGGTGGCCTTGGGAACTGTAAGTACTTAAATTTTTTAGTTGTCACACCAAAAACCTACTGCAATTCACAAGGTTTATGATTGATTATATTGGCTGATAAGACTATTTCGTGTTATCTCAGTGAAGGAGCCAAAGGATTTTGTGTACCTGTTGGATAATTGCCCTCATGATTGGCTATTCCTGCAATGTGCTGCTGTGGTATAACCTCTTTACCTCAGTTTATTTCATCTGAATTTGGACGTAACATCTGAATTTAGACGTACCCCTGCATGCACGCCCGCTCCTCCACCTTTTCATCTTAAACTGTTAAAAGAATTATGGATTGATGATCTATGATGTGGTTGTGCAATAAATTGTATAAGGTGTCTTTGTATCACATCTATCACAACCATGCTTTAATTAGGGAATTCCTTGGGGGTGATCCACTTAGTTCATTGATCCAGTTTAAGTCTTGCTTAGTTCCTACTGCTGTTCACCTATCATTTAAAGATTCGTTTAATTTTTTTTTTTTCATGGCTGCAAAAGGTAATTCTGCTTATTATCCTAACGCATTTGGGTTATGGCAGCTTAATCTATACTTTACGCAAAAATTGAATATGAGTTGACTGTTATTGAATAAAATCAATGGATACCCTTTATCTGATAGTGCATACTGTATTGGGACAGAAAATGAACTGTCTTTCATGTCCAAGACATATGTGCATCAACTTTAGCCTCCCCTCAACTTGATAAAGTAGTTGTTCTAACATCCGTCATAATTAAATTTGTTTGACCTTTTAATCATAACAGCCACTGATATGTGGACATTTTATTATTCATTCTTCCAGGTGCATCATGGAGGTGCTGGAACAACCGCTGCCGGACTTAAAGCTGCGGTAATTATTTAATTTCATGCATGACTGTAATCCTTTAGATTGTTTTAGGGGCTTACTTTGAATGATAACATGTGAATGTTTTTCAGTGCCCAACGACTGTGGTACCTTTCTTTGGGGATCAACCCTTTTGGGGGGAACGTGTGCATGCTAGGGGAGTTGGCCCTGCTCCCATCTCCGTGGATGAGTTCTCACTTGAAAAGCTGGTTGCTGCCATCCGCTTCATGCTAGATCCAAAGGTAGGTAGTTTTCCATAGTGTTTCTTTTTCCATCGGCTGTTTCCGGAGGGACATCCATATTTGTTTGCTTCTTTTTCAAAAGATATTTTCATCTGTCAAACATGGGGAATATTTCATGAGGTGACCAAGTGAAGAATTCTGTGTTAATATTTAGTGTGATCGTCTATACATAGAACTAGATACAAATATATTTGAGTGTTTTAAAAAAAAGTTTGTGTTAAAAGTTCAGATGAGAATAAGCATATGATCACTACATTTAGGGACAGGACTGATCCCCATTTTTTTTTATGGTTGTGGAATCGCTTTGATAAATTCGAAAGCCATGATATATGCTGGTCGATATACTTTTGTGACGTGCAGGTAAAAGAACGTGCTGTAGAACTAGCAAAAGCCATGGAGAATGAGGATGGAGTGACTGGAGCTGTGAAAGCATTCTATAAACATTTCCCTCGAGAATCACTTGAGCCTAAGCCCGAGATCTCACCTCATCCTCACCATTTCTTTTCCCTAAGACGCTGTTTTGGTCACACCTAATTTTTTATTTAAAGTCTACTTCTGTGTGGTCAATGATGTTGTAGAGATAGAACAGCTTGTCGGAATTGTAACCTCGGCTACAAAGGAATCCATAAAAATTTAGGATTCAACACTCATGATGGAATTCAAGATCATGATTAGATTATGTCCCTGATATTGATTGTAATTTTGATAATGTGGTTTGACGTTTGTTTGAAATGGAATGAGAGGGGTAATATTTTGTAGTAAAAAAAAGTAATGGATGGAAATGTTGGTTTTCATATCTCTAAGCTCTTTCGGTTAATTTGACTTGACAATGTAAACCTTGATGAACGCAACGTAACACTTATTTTAGCATATTATGGTTCTGGTGCTTATTTTTCCCTAGTTCGAAGAATATGGAGCAATTCTTGTATAAGTATTTTCAGATAAAGAGTAACTCGAACTAGTAGCAAAAATTATTGTATGCAGTCTTGTATTTAAATTGCAATCAAGTGAATAGTTCGCCAATAAGGGTTTGCTCTGCTGCCAAAATAGACAGACTAAGCAATAAGGGTAGAAATGGCGTGGTATAGCCACTTTTTTAAGGGTATTTACTTTTTAGCCAGTGTTTTTAATGTTGAGCAAAAATAGCCACTACTCTATTAAAATTGATACGAAAAGTTTTTTTTACCCTTTCTTCATGAGTGATGTGTAAATATTAAGGACACGGTGTCCTTAACTTCATGAGTGATGTGTAAAATATTAAGGACACCATGTCCTTAACATTTACAATGCACATATGAAGTTAAGGACATGATGTCCTAAAGTTTAACAATAAAAGTTGCAAATACAAGTTAATGATATTATGTCCTTAACATTTGCATTGCACACATGAAGTTAAGGACACCATGTCCTTAACATTTACACTATACATATGAAGTTAAGGACATGATGTCCTAAAGTTTAACAATAAAAGTTGCAAATACAAGTTAATGATATTATGTCCTTAACATTTGCATTGCACACATGAAGTTAAGGACATCATGTCCTTAACATTTACACTGTACATATGAAGTTAAGGACGTGGTGTCCTAAAGTTTATCAGTAGAAGGTGCAAATATAGGACACTTAGTCTTTAATATTTACACATCACTCATGAAGTTAAGGACACTATGTCCTTAACATTTACAATGAACACATTAAGTTAAGGACACCACGTCCTTAACATTTACATTGCACATATGAAGTTAAGGACATGATGTCCTAAAGTTTAACAACACGAGGTGCAAATACAAGTTAAGGACATTATGTCTTTAACATTTACATTGCATACATGAAGTTAAGGACACCATGTCCTTAACATTTACACTATACATATGAAGTTAAGGACATGATGTCCTAAAGTTTAACAACAGAATTTGCAAATACAAGTTAAGGACACTATTTCCTTAACATTTACAATGAACACATGAAGTTAAGGACACCATGTCCTTAACTTGTACTTGCAAATTCTGTTGTTAAACTTTAGGACATGGTGTCCTAAAGTTTAGCAGCAGAAGTGCAAATACATGACACTTTGTCCTAAATATTTACACAACATTCATGAAGTTAAGGACACCATGTCCTTAATATTTATACAACATCTATGTCTAGCACAAGGGTATTTTTGTCTGGCGGGTAAAAATTTATTAAGCACTGGCTAAAGAGTAAATATATTTAAAATAATGGCTAAAAAGTAAAGACATCTCTAATCAGTGGCTATCTGTGCACTTCGGTGAAATTCAAAAATAGTCAGATTTACAAGTGGTAAGTCAAAAATAGCCACAGTTTCAAAAGTAATCGAAATTTAGCCATTTTTCATGTAAAGATAAATTTGAACGAAAACACTGTTCAAAATACGGAAAATATTCTAGCATAATATACTGGAGTTCCAGTATAATATACCGGTCCAGCATAATACGCTGGAAGTTCATACACATGTGCTCCAATCTCCAGTATATTATGCTGGACTGGTCCGTGTTGCAGCAAAATAGTGACTATTTTTCAATGACTTTACAAACGCTGGCTATTTTTGAATTACCAGTCCGAAAACTGGCTAGCCCGTACTATTTTTACGGCAATAAGAGGTCATAGGATGGGTTTTATCTGGAAGCCAGTCTATTTAGGTCCGCACACAAATTGGGGAATAAGCTAAATCTAAGGAAGGTCATACGCTTGAATAAAACCATATTAAGTTATATAACTTAGTTATATTTAATTGTTTAATCGTAATTTATTTTTTGAACTTTTGAAGTAGAGCATAAAACCCCCTCATAATCTCAGATATTTTTAGCTTTTCGTTTGTAGTCTTTTCGATTATTTAGGTCAGTGGTTATATCATTATATGTAATTGACTATACATTATTTTGGTTTTAAAGAGAATAGTGATTCATAAACTAAGAAACCGTATCAAATTTTGATTAAGAGGCTGAATAATCAGAACGTCTTATTAAGTTACGCCATGAAATCATAACCTAATACGCTCTTACTGTTTTCCATATTTTCATGCATACTTCTTGTTCGTGGCGTTTTTCCATATGTTGTCAATTAATTAATTAATTAATTAAGTAATTTATTTATTTATTACAAGAAAAAAAATGCTAAACATCCTTAAGCGTAGAACTTATACGGGAGCTTTTTGGATTGAAATCGAAAATAAGTATGTAGAAACTAGAAAGAAATGAAATGAGAGGAGAGACAATTGTGTTGCCTAACTTTTTCTCTTTCTCTTCTGATATACTAAAATAGAGTTTGGTTTTTGTTGAAGTGTGTGACATCTCATCTAAAAGCTTAAGCTATTAGCAAGAGCACACTTCTATACCTTCATTCTGTGGTAATTTTGTAAGTGTAGACAGAAACTCAGGTTGTTATAAACTAGTATCGGTATTACCTAAGTAATTGAAGAGAGTACGATGTTAGTGGTAAAGGAAATGAAATGAAAAGAATAATTGGAACTTGGAATAACAAATATTGAAGAACACTGCGCTGACAATGATGATTACAACATTTCAGAGAGCTGAATTGAAATGAAATTTGATCATTTCAAGGCTCAAAGAAGAATACAGGTATAGGCCACCAGAAGTGGATTCAATTTTAATGAGATTATACCAATAGGGAATACTTACAGCAACATAAATGTAAAACTATGGACTCTCTTATCTTGAGGACTGGCAGCTCATGGTTAAGGAGCTTTAAACATAGTTCCCTGTATTCAGTTCTATTATGATCGAACAGTAGAAGCTTCTGCTTCTGCTCTTTGGTTTGACACCGAGTTGACGTCTGAACTATTCACAGATGAATCTACTTCTAATGTGGCCATCTCCAATTTGGGCATCACTGGAGGTCTTGTTCTTCGTGTTACGGTCATATTTAATCCTTCTGTAGTGTGTATTGTAGCCCCAGTTGTCATTTTAACCTGCAGAGAAGTTGATTATCCTAAAATATTTCTCGAGTAGGTAAAATAAGAATCATATCCTCAAGTTTATCCAGGTGTAATAAGTACAGAAACCAACTATATGTCAGTAATAAAGCTATCATTTATCAGAAGGAAATGACAAAAATTAAGAGAGAACAGCACAACTCACAGGAGGAGCTCCAAGAGCCATTTGAAAATCAAATCGTCGGACAAGCATTGCAACTGCCACTACATTCTGAAATTACATAAAAAGTTTTGAGAGGGAGTTCTAAAGTTATTATAAGAATATTAAGGAGAAGCTAAATGCAGTCATATCAAGCAACCTCCCATTGATATAATTGAAAACCCTTGTCCTACAACTGCAGTCTACTAGTTGAAGGATTACCTCAAATGTGGCAAACATGTCTCCAACACATTTTCTTGGTCCTCCACCGAAGGGCAGATAACTGATAGAATGGAATGGAAAGAACCTTTTTAGCTTATGTAAATTTCAAGCTTTAAAACAAATAATTTCCCATGTAAAGCATACGATATATTAGCTCAACATGGAAATAAACAGAGATATATTTTGATATGACCTGGAAGTTGTTCATACATGTCTCCAGGAGGAAGTGGATGAAATGAATTCTATGCAATCTTATCCAGAATGAGCACAAGTGAGTAAACTTGGTTAAATGCTTGGTTGTGCAAAAATTGAATGAAAACATTCCTTTCACTTCCACAAGGCATCAAGACTATCAAGCCCATACGTTTGTTACTTGTTTTACTAAAGGATATCAAATCTAACCCAAACCCAAAGCAAACTTTCTTTCCTTTCTCGACTATTATATTCTTATTATGTACTATTGATAGAGTCCCAATTCTAAAGACTTATTCTAGAAGAAAGTATCAGCAAAAGAATAAAGAATTGAATAATCTTGATGAAGTACAACTGCTGCAGTTTTTGAAATGCACATCTGATGAAACTGCCAACCAACAACTGCTGCCTGGAACTGCTCCAGCAGTTTAGTCTATTCCGTAGTTTTTAGTTGTCTGATCTTATCTTATTATGTGGTTCTATAAATATGTAATTAGTACTAGTTATTTAGGCATGTTCTATCAGAAATAAAAGTACTTTATTTGGAGCTTTGTCCTCTCCATACGGACAACTTTATTGGTGTAATTGTGTTTAAAATTCTTGCACAAACTATTGCCAATAATATTAACTTCTTTGTTCTATTTCATCTATTATCTACTTCTGGTTACTATCAGTTTGGTATCAGAGCAGATCGATCCAAAATGGTCAATACCAGATCTTCTAGTTCTCAAGAAGGCATTCCCAATGTTGAATCCCTTGCCCAGCAATTATCTGCCATAGCATCAAAACTGAATTCAATTGATTCACTGGCAGCAGAAGTTGCTACATTGAAAGCCCAGACTGGCCGCACCAGTTACCGAACCCGTCACGGAGGAAAGTCCGCTTGGCAAGAAGAGGAAGAAGATATCGATAGTCCAAGGTGGCCAAAAAGTCCTTCACGGAGGCCACACACGAAGATGGAATTCCCTAGATTTGAAGGAGGTGATCCCAGAGGATGGATTTTGAAAGCAGAAAAATATTTCTGCTACTATCAAACTCCAGAAGAACACAAAGTTGACATCGCTGCAATGTATCTGGAAGGTGATGCTCTTGATCTCTTCCCTTGGATTAATCGTGAGCGGACGTTGCTTTACTGGGAAGAGCTTGTTAAAGCATTGCAAGAAAATTATGGTCCTGCAGAGTTCCAAAACCCGGACGAGCATCTCTGTAGCATCCAGCAAACAGGTTCTGTACAGGAGTACCGTCAAGAATTTGCAAAACGTTCTTCTAGAGTCACAAACTGGTCAGATCATTGGCTGTTCAAAACCGAACCGATGGCTTATTGGTATCGGATTATAGGGGTAATGGATGGTGAACGGATTGAGATTTTATAATTAACGGCTTAACGGTTTGGGGACGGATTACTCAATTTTCTTATCGAGTAAACCGTTAAGGATTTTTATATTTACACTTTTACCCCTATGTATATAAAGTACTATTGAAAGTAATTTGTTGAATTGTCCGCTGGTTTTATCCGTAATAGCTGGATTGTCTGGTTTTATGTCCTTTTTTGCATGCATCTAACAAATTAAAGTCTGATTTTCTGGATTTTTGGTTTTACAATCTGGATTTCTTGTGAAGAACGAATGTTATTGAAAGTTTGATTGATTCATACGTGTATGAGTAGTCTTGAATATGAACTAGATTGGAACTTGGAAGAACACTCTTCAATTCAAAAATACTGTTACATCTTATTAGATGGTATTAAAAGTTTGGTATTGATTTGAAACCGTTTGGTATTGATTGAATGATGCTTCAAAAAATTTCTATTTGGTTTAGCCGATAAACCGTCCGATAATCGTTAATCCGATACCAATCCGCCCGTTGTCTTATTGAATGGCTAGCGGATTACTACATTTATAATCCGATAACCGATAAACCTAACCGTTAAGCGTAATTATCCGCCCGATAAGCACCCCTAGTTAGGTGTGTTCTTAAATGGGCTAAAGGAAGAACTTAAATCTGATGTTAGAATTCACAAGCCCAGAACAGTTTACAGAGCAATGAGTTTGGCACTTGAATTTGAAAACAAATTAGGCCCAATTCGCAGCAATAGAGGGCCTAATTGGACCCCAACCAGTAGACCCACTATACAAAACCCATTGCACTCGTATTAAAAATGCCCAGAATAATGCTGCTTCTTCCTCTGCACATCAAAATTCACGAAGCAGTGTTTCTACCAACCCAGCCTCCCAACCACTTCAAACACGAACATGGGATATCGAGAGGAGAAATCTCATGGCACACAGTTATCGTTGCCACGAGAAATTTGTACCAGGTCATAGATGCAAATCTATGAAACTATCTCTCATGGAACTTACAGGAGGAGATCAATTAGATGATGTTGATGACGTCAACGCCACCAGCGGTGGCGACCCTCAAGAAACTGACATTGCTGAAATTTCTTTTCATGCCATTTTGGGACACTCAGTTGGTACTACAATGAAGCTTCAGGGTGCAATCAACAGAGACAGGTTTTAATACTTGTGGATAGTGGTTCCACGCATAACTTTGTGGCTGAATCCATTGTAGAAGAGCATAAACTTCCAGTAGAAATTTTTCCAACATTTGATGTGTAGATAGGGAATGGGGACATCATACGTTGCAATAAAGTTTGCCGGAATCTTCAAATTCAGTTGCCAGGCTTAACCATCACTCGGGATTACTACCCTTTTGCAATTAGAGGGGCTGATTTGGTCTTTGGTATCAAATGGTTAGCTTCTTTTAACACTATTCAAGCTAACTGGAAGGATATGGTCATAATTTTCAATTGGCAAGGGAATCGCTACAAACTGCAGGGGTGAGATCGGTGAATACCAATGTGGCTTCCCTCCAATCTTTTAACAAGTTATCAGAGAATCCAGGTAATCCAATTAGTTTCAGTCTGTGTTTTCTGAATCAACCTCTCTTCCACCATTTAGAGCATATTCCCATGCTATTCCTCTGTTACCAAATTCTAAACCTCCAAACATAAGACCTTATCGTTACCCACAAAGCCAAAAGACTGAAATTGAGAACCAAGTTGCTGCTTTATTAGAATCTGGTTTCATTCGTCCTAGCTCAAGTCCTTTTGCTAGCCCGGTTCTGTTAGTGAAAAAGAAAGATGATTCTTGGAGGTTTTGTGTGGATTACCGTAGCCTTAACAAAATCACTGTACCAGACAAATATCCCATACCCAATATTGATGAGTTACTGGTTGAGTTTCATGGAGCTACTATTTTTTCAAAAATTGATCTACGTTCAGGATACCATCAAATCCAAGTCCAACCTGATGATGTCCATAAAACTGCCTTCCGTACTCATTCAGGCCATTATGAATTTCTTGTAATGCCTTTTGGGCTCACCAATGCACCATCCACGTTCCAAGCTGCCATGAACGATCTTTTCAGGCCATATCTTAGAAAATTCATCCTGGTTTTCTTTGACGATATTCTAACATATAGTCCTGACCCTCAAACACACCAACAACACCTGCAAACAGTCCATCTTCTCTCCGTCAATTTCTTTTTTGCTAATCCAAAACAATGTCTATTTGGACAACCCCGAGTTGAATTTTTGGGCCATGTGATTTCCCGAGATGGAGTAGCCGTGGATCCGGACAAAATATCCTCTGTTTTAGAATGGCCTGTGCCAAAAAATGTCAAGGAACTTCACGATTTTTTAGGTCTCACGGGATATTACAGGCGGTTTGTTAAGAACTATGGGATCATTGCTCGTCCTTTAACAGAATTGACCAAGAAAGATGCTTTTCTCTGGAATGCAAAAGTAGAAGAGGTTTTTCAACATCTTAAGAGGATCTTGACATCAATGCCAGTACTTCGTCTTCCCGACTTTACTCAGCAATTTACAGTTGAGTGTGATGCTTCATCTGATGGAGTAGGGGCTATTCTACTGCAACAGTACCATCCTATTGCATATTTTAGTAAGGGATTCTCCTTTTCTAATCGCATTAAATCTACTTATGATCGCGAGCTATTGGCTTTGGTCCTTGCATTGCAAAAAATGGAAGCACTACCTTCTGGGTCGGCATTTTATTGTCACCACTGACCATTGCAGCCTCAAATACCTCTTGAATCAGCGGGTGACTACTGTTGAACAGCAGTGGTTGTTGCTTAAATTGTTGCCTTTTGATTTCACTATTGTCTATAAGTCAGGAAGTGAAAACAAAGGAGCTGATGCCTTATCCCGTCGCCCTCAACATGCTGATTTTTTTACTTTGGTGATGCCTATTCCATTAGACTTCAGTGATTTGAGAGAAGCAATTGAAGCTGATCCATATACTATGCAGATTCGAGATCAACTTTCTTCTGATCCTTCAACTCATCCAGATTTTTCGTTGTTTGCTAACCATCTTTATTACAATTGAAGCATGATGTTAAGTTATTTGTCCAGAATTGTTTGATATGCCAGCAACATAAATATGAAACATTAGCTCCAGCTGGTCTCTTTCAACCTCTGCCTGTTCCTAACAGAGTCTGGGAGGATATCTCCTTAGACTTCATTGTTGGACTTCCTCCTTCTAATGGCTTTGATACTATTCTTGTCGTGGTGGACAGGTTTAGCAAATACAGCCATTTTCTTGCTTTATCTCATCCCTTTACTGCCAAAACAGAGGCTGGTATTTTTTGTAAAGAAATTGTCAGATTGCATGGTTTACCTCGCTCCATTCTTTCAGATTGTGATATTGTTTTCTCTAAGTATATTTTGGCAGTAACTTTTTCGCCTTAGTCGCACGCGTCTCCGTATGGGTACTTCATATCATCCCCAATCTGACGGTCAAACGGAGGTGGTCAATAGATGCCTTGAAACTTATTTGCACTGTTTTGCACACGACAAGCCAAAATCATGGCTTCAGTATCTACCTTGGGCTGAATACTCTTTCAATACTGGTTACCATTCTTCAGCCAATAGGACCCCTTTCCAGTTTGTGTATGGAAGAAAGCCACCGCCCTTACATTCCTTTGTTCATGGCGAAACTAAAATTGCTGACCTTGAACAGCAACTCGTGAAGCGAGATCAGATGTTAACATTACTACGTTCCAATCTCTTGAAGGCACAATCCAGGATGAAATCTCAAGCTGATTCCAAGCGGCGTGACTTATCTTTTAATGCGGGTGATGCTGTCTTCCTTCGTTTGCAACCTTATCGGCAGAAGAGTTTAGCCAAACGTCCTAATGAGAAGCTTTCTCCTCGATATTTTGGCCCGTACAAAAATGTGCGCAAAGTTGGTCCTATTGCTTATGAATTGCAGCTGCCTCAAACATCCAAGGTTCATCCCATTTTTCATGTTTCGTTGCTTCGCCCTGCTCGTGGTTGTTCTGATGTTACCTTTCCACCACCCTTACCACTTTCGGGTGAATTGGAACTCATGTTGGAACCTGAAAAAGTTTTATCGCATCGTTGGGTGAAAGAATCTGGAGTGCCAACTCTGGAACTACTTATTCAATGGCGTCATCGTCCTATTGAAGAGGCTAGTTGGAAAGACTATGACCTGCGTGCTGTTCAATTTCTTTCTTTCTGCCTTGAGGACAAGGCATCTTTTCAGGGGTTGCACTGATAGAGTCCCAATTCTAAACACTTATTCTAGAAGAAAGTATCAGCAAAAGGATAAAGAATTGAATAATCTTGATGAAGTACAACTGCTGCAGTTTTTGAAATGCACATTTGATGAAACTGTCAACCAACAACTGCTGCCTTGAATTGCTCCAGCAGTTTAGTCTATTCCTAGTTTTTAGTTGTCTGATCTTATCTTTTTATGTGGTTCTATAAATATGTAATTAGTACTAGTTATTTAGGCATGTTCAATCAGAAATAAAAGTACTTTATTTGGAGCCTTGTCCTCTCCATACGGACAACTTTATTGGTGTAATTGTGTTTAAAATTCTTGCACAAACTATTGCCAATAATATTAACTTCTTTGTTCTATTTCTTCTATTATCTACTTCTGGTTACTATCAACTATCCATAAGCTTCCTTCTGTTAAAGAGAAAATAGACCAATGGTAAGAAAGAAAGAACACGGCTTTGTGAATTACCCGTGGGTAATTCTATTTGTAGAATGTATTGCTCGCTACCAACTACATTGTTGAAGATACTTTTTCTGATGTACCTAATAGCCTCTGAATAGATGAAAATGACTCGCTTGAATAGAATAATTGCTACCTCTGAAAGATTAAATAAACTGGTAGCATCGGAAGCAAGAAAATAGCAATTGAATTTTGTCAGATTACAACATCGCCAGGAGCCTGGAAAAGTCTATACACCTCGCAAACCATTTGTTCTGTTAATACTTCATTATCTCAATTTACCACACTTACTTTCCTGCGACATCTTCACACTTGTTTCCCCTAAAAATTCAAACTAACACTACTCTATATTACTTATTTGCTTATACATACTATCAGTACTTCTTTTATTTCAACCGTTTTAAAAAAATATATAATATTACTGAACTTTCTTTTCTTACCCTATGGAAAATGGTAGATGAATACAGATCTCTGCAAAAAATAGAGGCTTAACCTATGTTGTGCGGACTCTTCATTTTAGCCGCCGCACCGTGTTAACATGACACTAGGATTGGTAAGGGTGTGGGTTTCGTACCCGTTGTGGTCAATCGAGATCGGGTACTTTGACCACAATCCATGGACGAATTGAGGAAAAATGAAAAATGAAAGATTGAATTTTAGCTTCTGCTTGCTAGTGCCTAGTGCCTACAACTTGAGAAATTCCTAAAATAAAAGATTGAATTATTGCTCTTGGGGTGACTCGAACTCACAAACCTCTTGGTTGGAAGTGGAGGGTGCTCACCACTAGAGCAACCCACTCTTGTCAACTCTACAACCTATAAGGATACTTTTATAGATCTATTTTTAGAACGTTGAATTATTTTTAGCCGAATCCCCGCGCCCGTATCCTTAACTAGATCCATAACCCCGAATCTTAAAATTCAGATTATGAAGGATCCGACCTCTAGATCCGCACCCGGATTGGCTACCCGCACCCGAGTCCGAGCAACATAGGGCTTAACTAGGATAAAATCAATATCATAACCTAGCGTATTTCAAAGTTAGCATAAAAATATAGTAAGGATTTTGAAACAAGGATAAGGGCATTGTTGGAGGTCTATAGGTGCAAACACAAACTTTACAAATGAAAAACAGCTAATTATGCGAGTCACATTTTCAGTTTTCAACTTTAGATTTACAATGATATTCCAACAAGTTGCATTTAACAACTGTTTTCTGACATGAAGTTGGAATTGATTTCACATATTAAGAGTGTTGTGTTGCAGGAATCAAATATCAGTTAGTAAACAACAAATTTTTCAATGTCAAGATTCTTCAAAATAACTGAAAAAGTATTGCGTAGATCCTCAGCAATGAGCTAAGTTGCTCAGACACTGGTGCGGATCTAAAGGTCGGATCTTTCGAGATGTAAATTCTAAGAATCGGGGATATGGATCCTAGTACGGATACGGGTGCGGGGATCCAGCTAAAAATAATTCAAAAAAATAAAAATATAAAAATATCTCTAAATTATGAGAAAATTTGTGGAATACTTACCTATAGCTTGTGAAGTGTGGATTTCTTTTTTATTCTCAAGTTGTAGGCATAATTTCTTGATTTTTCTTCATTCTCGAATTCTCCTACAAGCTAACTTTTTAATAGTTATCTTTCATTCACAATTATATATTAATTTTTATAATTTAGATTAGATCTTTAATTGTTATTATAAAAATCAGACTTCGTGTGTGTCAAGCTTTCAATACAAAGGGTACAATATTATTAAATATAATAATATCTAAATAAAGTCAAAAGCCTTGTAATTTTCCAAATTCTCGAACGCTCTGTCTTTCCTATTCTCAATTGATGCTCTCTGCTCCTCTTTTTGCTCGATCAAGAGGAGAAGCAGAAAGTAAATGATTGATTTAAAGTAAATGATTGATTTCCTAGATAAGATGTCATTTTCTTCAAATTTACCTTAGTTTTGGTTATGATGTCGGAATCAAATTATATCTCGTCTCGAATTTTTCCGTCCGCCGTGGTCAAAATACCCAAAATTATTTGACCAGATCCGCTACGGATCCCACACCCACACCAGTGTCGTGTCGACATGGGTGCGGCAAATAAAATGCCATGTCGGAGCAACTTAGGCAATGAGTAAATTTTCCAATGCAGTGATCTTTTCCCCTAAAAGTAACCACCTCGTGGGAGTTATTATACAATAGGGAAGCAGCAGCCATAGTTATGGCTTGAAGATGATGGACAAACGTGACCCAGAAGAAGGCACACGTTAGAGGCTTCTTATTTTTAATTCCACAAGAACAAAATCTTGTAATCGCCCTTCAAGGAAAGACGATTTTCTGAAAAATTTGATGAGTGTTTCTTGATTTGGGTAGATTCAAGTTGCTCGATCACTAATTCGGTCAGTTTTTACATCATTTTTTATCTTGTTCTTCCTGAAAATTAGTTTGTAATTGCTGGAATCTAATTCGTGAGCAGTATGAAATCGAAGATGGAAGAAGATTAACAAAAATGGTGGCAGGATTTTGTAGGGGCGACGGTGGCGGAGCAGTTGCAGACTTGTAGTACAATGGTGAATAGTGTGTCTGATGGTTTTGTAAAACTGGTTTTAAAAAAGAAAAAAGAAATTGTGATTTTGAGCTTCTCACGTGCGTAAGATATGTGGAATGTACTTTTTTTGCCAAGTCATCTTTTTGTGTTTAGTAGACACATATTAAATGAAGTTGGAGTATCCAATAGGTATAGGCCTTAGTTGAGGTAGCTAGGTGACAATAGTGGACAAGTTTAAGGAGCCGTATAGGTATTCTGCCTTTAAAAAATAAGGCAAAACATTTCTCTAAACACTCTGATTAAAATTAACATGCACTACAAGAATGAGTAGTTCTTACTAAAAACACAGACAAATTTAAGCTACTCTTTTTATTTTGCATAAAGTTAGTTACTAAAGGTAACAAGAATTCTAAAAAAACATATAATACATTTAAAGAGAGTGGCCAATAACAAAAAGTTGCCAAAAGTTACATGATAGATGCTGATGAGCTGAAAACTGCAATACCTGTAATTTTGGTTTGTCTCATTTGGGTTAGGTCCATCTAAAGGCCACCTCTCAGGGTTGAATTTATCAGCTTCTTCCCAACGATTGGGGCACCGATGCAAATTCCAAACAGAAATGAAAATGTCTTCACCCCTGTGAAAGTGCTTAATAATTTCAGAAATATGATTGACTGAAAAAATGATGTCAGAGAAAAACTAAACCTGCACATAGTTCCAGAGATCCAGACGGATGATAATGGACATAAGCAAAATATGGTGCAGGTGTAAGTTCATCTAAGGTTTATGATTATAAGACCTCAGTTGATCACTAGGCATGTTACCCATGCCAAATAAGTATCCGAACTACTGGAAACCTACAAACATTAGTAGAAGTCTATGATCAATCTGTTAATAAATAACTATATGTTACAATTTCCTTCATGGTATTTTCAAATGAATGCTGCAGTATGCAAAAACTCAATCACTTATCTCAGTGTTTCTAATTCACCTTCTTCAAGATAATCAGTAAACCACAGCACACAATTTCTCCAATTCGTCTGAAGCCAATTACAGTGACTGACCACGAACACTCTTTGACTATACCATTTTCCACTTTGCCCTTGTAGATTGTTCAAGGCAGAAGGAAAAGTATATAAGGTGCATGGTGAAGGTTTCCATTTTCTATGTTTAAGATACTGTTATGAGAAGGGAAGACACTAGAGTGCAAAAGACAAATCTGCCAAAATTATTGTCAAACTACTGAACATAATATATTACTATCCCAATATTGATGGTGCAAATGTTTCTGCAAACAAGGAACACCTGTTTCTTTCTTTCTCAGAGCAGGATAGGAGTTATCTGCAGTATTCACTTGTTTCAGCATCTCTACACCCTAGGCATAGAAGATACACCAAATTTTGTAGTAAGCTCAATGAGGTATTATTTAAGAGAAACTGTTGGAAAAGCCAATCAGTTGATTTTCATTATCTAATAGCATACATCTGACATGCTAAAAGCAGGCTCAAATATTTATTCCTTTGTCTCTAATATTTCTGTATTAAGGGAAGGACAGATGCATTGTCAGAGTCTCCAAAGATTGTATACACTCATGGTGCAAATTTATCATAAATTTAATTTAGCATGCATGAGAGGCTTGTGCAGAATGCTTCTCATAACAGATTTCAGGATAACCTTTTTATTGGGTAACCTCCAAGTACGTCCTCATCAATAGAACGACGAATCAAGACTGGTGGCTGTGGGTATAGTCTTAAAGACTGCAAAATGAAAGAAATATTACACAAAGGAAACGGTTGTGAGCACAAGGATTTATGCTTACAGGTAACATTCTTCTCACTTCATTAATCACACGAGTTGTGTATCTGAGTTTCTTTAGGTCTTCAATGGTTGGAAATCTATCCCCCAGAACTGAATCAACCTGAAATTAACATTAAATACACTAAATATGAGATACAAGTAGCTGCTTTCAATAAAAGGTGATCAAATTATATTTTATTTTAACCTACCTCATCTTGAAGTTTGGCCATGACACTAGGTTCCTGCAGTTGTTTAGGGTTGAAACGAAGGTCAAAGACTATCAGGAAGAACATGAAAACTACCTATTGAAATAAGATCTCCTTTTCTCGTATCTTAAATAAACCATAATTTCCAAAAGTTCAACCATGAGAAAAACTTAAGCTCTTGCAAGTATGGATTTTGAGTAAAACACGACATGCAGACAATCTTAGTTGACACTAAAAAATCTATTATGTGCATATTCTTTTTGAAGGAAAAGGCTTCACATAGACCTGAAAAACATCTGCATACAGTTATCTGAACTCCAAATTCTCAAGCTTTAGTAATTGATTGTCATTCTATTTTACGAAAGCTGTATGCACATAAGATGACATACTTACAATTAATTTGTATATGCACATGTTACTGTTACTGACAGAAAGTCTAAAATGAAGAAGGGAACCGGAAAAGGAAGGAACTTTTCACCCCTAAAAGGTAGCTGAAAGAAGAATGTTAAATACTTATGCTTCTACCTGAGCTTGAAAGGGGTAGACTAACCTTGGACAACAGATAAAAGGTCCAAGTGAGCACTGCTGCAGATGTCTCGTGTCCAGCAATAAGCATTGTCATGAGGTCATCACGGAGTTGCTTGCTTGACACCTACAACTTAGGGCATGAGAATTTTCCCAACCAAATTATTTGGCAGTACAGATGCATCCAAGACTTCGATATGTCATACCTCATCTCCAGACGCTAACAGGAAATGGAGGATGCTAGGATCTTTTTCGTTCATGTATTCCTCATGAAACTGTAACTCTTCTTCATCTACCATCCTCTGAAATGCATTTTTAGGTACACAAGATTCAGAACAAAATTACTAGCAAAAGATCAAGAAAAATCAATTTTGATACGTATCAGAAAGAAACTGACAACATAGAAAAAACAGTTAAAATACTTGCATGTGAGTACTCACTCAAAGCAGCATATCTTTCAACATTTCTATTTGCAATAATGTCTGCACCATATTTCCTAAATGGCTTGGGTCTGGTGCTTACGCAGTCGTCTCTTTTGCCTTTATTTCTTGACTCTATCACTGTTTCTTATTAGTTTAGAAGAGGAAAAATACATCTTTTTTTCTAAGATCATACATCTTACTGGGAATAGTTGGACAAGCTATTCTCAAACAAAATTAAGAAGACATCAATTGGACAAAGCCTCTGAATCATACTGCAGGTCAGTTAAGAAGATATAACAAACTAGCCATGGAGCTTTGCAGTATTAGAAAGGGGTCCACTCTGTACTAGTCTCAGTCCACAGAGATGTATAGGTCTAGGAAAAACCCACACATCCACTACAATAAAGCCACTATGCTGTTTCAGTTATAGGACATGTTCACAGAATCTTTCCTATATCAGATTACCACTTTTTGTTGATTCTTAGTTGTATCTGCTGAGATTTCATCCTGAATCATACTAACTCCTGCCATATTCAAGCATGTTATTGTCCTTAATTACTACTAAGGTAAGTTTTTTTGAAATTTATAACATAAACGCTACTACAAGTTATGAAGAAACAGCGAACGGAGTAAAAACTCATAAAGTTGCGGTACTAGGATTGGTAGGATCTCAGAATCCCACTTGTGATCCTATAAGATCCTTACTGATCCTGTTCCAATCTAACCACTTTTGACATATGCGATCTGTTCACATCCTTTGAACCTGGTGTGATAGAATAATTTACACATAGGAGTTTCCTAATGGGTTCTACAAGTAGCATAATAATTTCTTCTATTATCGGACAATATATCTAATATCCTAACACACTGCTTCAAATTCAATGTGGAGAAGTCACCTTGAGTTTACACATTAGTATTGTAGCATAGGTCCTACCCAGTGATGTTGATTAACATGCAGCTCTTACGTCAGAGTTGTGCCTGAACAATGACAGGAACAGTGGCTAGAATTGTATTGACATAATGGCCGAACAGTGGCCACCCAAAAAGTGGTAGGAACAGTCGTGAGAAGAGTGGTCAGATGGTCATTGTCATAGTGATGGAACTGTGTCGGAAGAGTCATGAAAAACAGGCGTAATGAGGTCAGAGCGATCACTTGACTAAAGCGCAAAGCTAACAAAATGCACTGCCTTGGAACAGTGCCAGAAAGAGATGTACTGACACCGGAACAGCCATTGGAAAGAGTCACGGAGTCTCCAGAACGAACGCTGAAAAGAGATTGGAATAGTGAAACTAGGAAGAATGAAAATTTTGGCCGATGGAGCAGCTGTATTAAGTCATTACCAAGATCGTACCATGTGAGAAAATCAGAGAAGACATTGGGAGAATGTTTTAGACAAGTCCAATTTCTAGGAGCTGTTATAGATAATTCGTACAATACATGTAAATTGTTTTCCTCTAATCTCACATTCAAACATTCTACCAGTCCAATAGTTGGGTTGTGGAATTGCATGAACCTCTGCGACTTGCAATTTCATTGACGTGGTTCAAAAGGTTTTCTTCAAAAACAGCTAAAGGTCAGGGGTTTCTTTTACGGAAATGCCTTTTTCTAGTAGGTCTGAATAATGCTTCATCTCAAGACTACGCTAACTGGTTATTTTTATCATCCAAACAACAATAAAATTTGTAAAGCAAGTAGTTCAGATTGATCTCTGAACCAAATAAGTATATTACCTTACATAGAGCAATCAAATCATCCAAGGTGTCATTAATCAACTTTAGAGCTGCGTTGACCTTTTTTAGCTTAGGAGAGATATCTTTCCAGATAGGTATCTCCCAAACTGGAATTGGTGCAACACTGCGATCTTCTGCTTCTCTAAGCACTGTATATACAGCCTGAACAAGACAAAGAATCACAAGCGCAGGCACAATCATCACTTTTAACAATAAACTAGCAATAGATGCAACAAAATAGACTAAACAAATAAAATAACTTAAGAAAAAAGTAGTACCTCCACAATACCAGTGTCTACTGTTAACGAGTCGAAATCATAATTAAATACAGCTTTGCCAATGATGTCTAATGTTAGACGGGAAAATAGCGATTCCATCTCAACATCTTCTCCATCAGATGCAGCAGCATCGAGCTTTTTGCACAACCTGTCGGTTGCTTGACCAAATAAGCCAATCATAGCTGCTACATACTACAACCAGCAATGGAAAATGATAACAAGAGTAAAAATTTAGAAGGATTTGTCCTGCTTGCTTAATACTACACAAATAGATGAATAGATAACTAAAAAAACTGAATTAGCTCAACAGATATCAGTAGGAGACCAACTAACATTAACAAACAGTAATACAATAAGTAAGCCACAAGAAGAAGTACGATTTGATTGTTACCTTTTGATGCAATGCTGGTACAATAGCGCGCCGCCTGACGCGCCAAATTTCTCCATCTGCAGGTATAAGTCCCTTTCCCATCACAAAGTCCAATATTTCAGCTAGGATACCCTGGACGTGGAGAAGGCAGAAGAAATCATCTTAGGAATTGTGAGTTGATTATTCTTTCCTTCACTTTTCACATTTCGATAAACTAATAGATACAGGTTGCAAGCTGCTTTACCTTAGAATAAGCCTTTGAATTATCTTTCAGTATGTGTTTGGCTATTGAAGGATCAGAAACTATTAAGAAAGACTGCACAACAAGGTCAAATCATCAAACAATCATTCAGAGGAGGTCTCATTTACTTTTAAGCTTTCAATTGATTTTTAAATGCACTGCTGAAGAAAAAAGTACATCTTCATGAAAATGAACAAACCTTGGGACCGAAAGTCAAACGAAAAATTCCACCATAAGTAAGGAAAAGCTCATAAAGTGGGATGAAGAAAGCCTCATTCCGAACAGCGCTAATAGACCCTTTTGCCTCTGGAATGCGAGGATAATCACCCAGCCATTGAGAGAAGAACTCAAAAAACTCCTTCGGCACACCCAATTTAGACAAACCCTTTTTGACCAGTGACGGGAATCTAGTCCACAGAAGAAAAAGAGCTTAAATTTAACAACAGAAGAAACCGTAATAACTTCAATTGCCTATTATTAATGGTAGAATTAGAAATTTGTTGCGTCAAAAGAACGCATCAAATCAAGTAGATAGTTTAAGTTCACGAGTAATACAACAACAACAACATATCCAGTGTATCCCACAAGTGTGGTCTGGGGAGGGTATAGAGTACGCAACTTTACCCTACCATGTGCAGGTGGAGAAGCTGTTTCCGATAGACCCTCGGCTCAAAGCAAGTATGCATAAGTATAGAGAAAAGATATACAGTGGTGAAAAAGTCAAAGAAGCAGTAACAACAGTAAGATAATAGTAAAATCGAAACACAAAATCGTCACAGTAATAGAAATCTAACAATATGGGAATACGAGAATAACACTACCATCACCGGGATGAAAGGAAAGATGCTCGACTCCCTACTACGCTTCTACCCTGATTCTCAACCTCCACTCTCATGTCAAGGGTCATGTCCTCGGTAATTTGAAGATGCGTCATGTCTTGCCTAATCACCTCTTCCAAATACTTCTTCGGCCTACCTCTACCTCTTCTTAGACCGGCTATAGTCAATCTCCCACATCTCCTCACTTGGGCATCCGCACATCTCCTCTTTACATGCCTGAATCATCTCAACCTTGTTTCCTCCATCTTGTCCACTGTGAGAATGCACGGGAGAAAAATTTATTATTGATATTTTGTTTAATTATAATACAATGAGCCATATTTATACAATACATATTGTTAGTTTACAGCATGTATATAGTATAGTATTGTCCCACATTGGTAGAAGAGTAGTATGTCCTTGTATAGTATAGCTATAAATAAGGACCTCTTGTATTGTATTGATCATCTAATATCAATAATATATTTTCTCCCGTGCTTTCTCACATGGTATCAAAGCAATTGTGAGAGACTTATCGCTGTGCATAAATTCCAGCGATTCCGGGAAAGAGAAATCGTTGTGCATAAATTCCAGCGATTCCGGGAAAGAGAAATCGTCGTGCATAAATTCCAGCGATTCCGGGAAAGAGAAATCGTCGTGCATAAATTCCAGCGATTCCGGGAAAGAGAAATCGTCGTGCATAAATTCCAGCGATTCCGGGAAAGAGAAATCGTCGTGCATAAATTCCAGCGATTCCGGGAAAGAGAAATCGTCGTGCATAAATTCCAGCGATTCCGGGAAAGAGAAATCGTCGTGCATAAATTCCAGCGATTCCGGGAAAGAGAAATCGTCGTGCATAAATTCCAGCGATTCCGGGAAAGAGAAATCGTCGTGCATAAATTCCAGCGATTCCGGGAAAGAGAAATCGTCGTGCATAAATTCCAGCGATTCCGGGAAAGAGAAATCGTCGTGCATAAATTCCAGCGATTCCGGGAAAGAGAAATCGTCGTGCATAAATTCCAGCGATTCCGGGAAAGAGAAATCGTCGTGCATAAATTCCAGCGATTCCGGGAAAGAGAAATCGTCGTGCATAAATTCCAGCGATTCCGGGAAAGAGAAATCGTCGTGCATAAATTCCAGCGATTCCGGGAAAGAGAAATCAGTACTTTTTTAAGGTTGTTTTCTATCTGCTTCATTTCTGTCAGTGTTGTACAAAATCCAACACTACCACAAGAGTCGTCACTGTCCGGCGACCAAACCCCAGTGAAAAACTCCGGCAGTAGCCTCCTCACGCGCCTCCACGCGCCACCAGAAGCTCACGCGCCGGCGCGTACGAACAGTTCCGGCCATTTTTTGAAAATCTTCCTTCAGAACAGTTGGGTCGCCTGGTAATTCCGATCCTACCCCTACTGTTTTCATTTCATTCCGACAACTTTGAGTTTTTTTTCCGGCAGCTACAGTATTATTCCGACAGCTACAGCAGATTCCGGCAGCTACAGTATTTCGGTATTCTGTTTCTGTGTTTCCGTACACTGTTTCAGTGGACTACAGTTGATTCTTTCTCTTATTTGGTAATAATTTGCAACAATGTCTTTGGGATTTGATGCTTTTGGGTCTAGAAACATGAGTTCTGGAAGCTCTAGTGCTATTATTACCTCGGAACCTTTAATGGGAGGTTCAAACTACTTAGCTTGGGCTTCATCTGTCGAGTTATGGTGTAGAGGTCAAGGTGTTCAAGATCATCTAATCAAACAGTCTAGCGATGGAGATGAAAAGGCAATAGCACTTTGGGCAAAAATCGATGCTCAGTTATGTAGCATCTTGTGGCGATCTATTGATTCCAAGTTGATGCCCTTGTTTCGTCCATTCCAGACATGTTATTTGGTTTGGGCAAAGGCACGCACCTTATACACTAATGACATATCTCGCTTCTATGATGTGATATCACGGATGACAAACTTAAAGAAGCAGGAATTGGATATGTCTACTTACTTGGGTCAAGTACAGGCAGTCATGGAGGAATTTGAGAAGTTGATGCCAGTTTCTGCTAGTGTGGAAAAACAACAAGAGCAGCGACAGAAGATGTTTCTCGTTCTTACCCTCGCTGGACTTCCTAATGATCTTGATTCAGTACGCGACCAGATTTTGGCTAGTCCGTCTGTCCCGACAGTTGATGAATTATTCTCTCGATTACTCCGCCTTGCTGCAGCACCAAGTCCACCAGTGATCTCATCACAGATACTTGATTCCTCTGTTCTTGCATCCCAGACAATGGATGTTCGGGCATCTCAAACTATGGAGCATAGACGAGGAGGAGGTCGTTTTGGAAGATCTAGACCCAAGTGTTCTTATTGTCACAAACTTGGACACACTCGTGAAATGTGCTATTCCTTACATGGTCGTCCACCCAAAAATGCTTACATTGCTCAGACCGAGACTCCAGGTAACCAAGGATTTTCTTTATCTAAAGAAGAATATAATGAGCTCCTTCAGTATCGAGCAAGTAAGCAGACATCTCCACAAGTAGCCTCAGTTGCTCAGACTGATACTTCTGTTTCTGGTAATTCTTTTGCTTGTGTTTCCCAGTCTAGCACTCTTGGCCCATGGGTCATGGACTCCGGCGCTTCTGATCACATCTCTGGTAATATATCACTTTTGTCAAATATTGTATATTCACAGTCTCTTCCCACTGTTACTTTAGCCAATGGATGTCAAACTAAGGCAAAAGGAGTTGGACAAGCTAATCCCTTGTCTTCTATCACCCTAGATTCCGTTCTTTATGTCCCTGGCTGTCCTTTTAGTCTTGCATCTGTTAGTCGTTTGACTCGTGCCCTCCATTGTGGTATATATTTTATTGACGATTCTTTTATTATGCAGGACCGCAGTACGGGACAGACAATTGGTACAGGACGTGAATCAGAAGGCCTTTACTACCTTAACTCACTCAGTCCTTCCACAACATGTCTAGTTACAGATCCTCCAGATCTAATCCACAGACGTTTAGGACATCCGAGTTTATCCAAACTTCAGAAGATGGTGCCTAGTTTATCTAGTTTGTCTACATTAGATTGTGAGTCGTGTCAACTTGGGAAACATACCCGAGCCTCCTTTTCGCGTAGTGTTGAGAGTCATGCAGAGTCTGTCTTCTCCTTAGTTCATTCTGATATATGGGGTCCTAGTAGAGTCAGTTCATCCTTGGGATTTCGTTATTTTGTCAGTTTCATTGATGATTATTCAAGATGTACTTGGCTTTTCTTAATGAAAGATCGTTCTGAGTTATTTTCTATATTCCAGAGTTTCTGTGCTGAAATCAAAAACCAATTTGGTGTTTCTATTCGCATTTTTCGCAGTGATAATGCCTTAGAATATTTATCTTCTCAATTTCAGCAGTTTATGACTTCTCAAGGAATTATTCATCAGACATCTTGTCCTTATACCCCTCAGCAAAATGGGGTTGCTGAGAGAAAGAATAGGCACCTTATTGAGACTGCTCGCACACTTCTAATTGAATCTCGTGTTCCGTTGCGTTTTTGGGGCGATGCAGTTCTCACAGCTTGTTATTTGATTAATCGGATGCCTTCATCTCCCATCAAGAATCAGATTCCGCATTCAGTATTGTTTCCCCAGTCACCCTTATACTCTCTTCCACCTCGTGTTTTTGGGAGCACGTGTTTTGTTCATAACTTAGCCCCTGGGAAAGATAAGTTAGCTCCTCGTGCTCTCAAGTGTGTCTTCCTTGGTTATTCTCGTGTTCAGAAGGGATATCGTTGTTATTCTCCAGATCTTCGTAGGTACCTTATGTCAGCTGACGTCACATTTTTTGAGTCTAAACCTTTCTTTACCTCTGCTGACCACCATGATATATCTGAGGTCTTACCTATACCGACCTTTGAGGAGTTTACTATAGCTCCTCCTCCACCTTCGACCACAGAGGTTTCATCCATACCAACCGTTGAGGAGTCTAGTGTTGTTCCCCCTAGTTCCCCGGCCACAGGAACACCACTCTTGACTTATCATCGTCGTTTGCGTCCTCCATCAGGCCCAACTGGTTCTCGTCCTGCACCTGACCCTGCTCCTGCTGCGGACCCTGCTCCTAGTACACCGATTGCACTTCGGAAAGGTATACGGACCACACTTAACCCTAATCCTCATTATGTCGGTTTGAGCTATCATCGTCTGTCATCTCCCCATTATGCTTTTATATCTTCTTTGTCCTCGGTTTCCATCCCTAAGTCTACAGGTGAAGCGTTGTCTCATCCAGGATGGCGACAGGCTATGAGTGACGAGATGTCTGCTTTACATACAAGTGGTACTTGGGAGCTTGTTCCTCTTCCCTCAGGTAAATCTACTGTTGGTTGTCGTTGGGTTTATGCAGTCAAAGTTGGTCCCGATGGACAGATTGATCGACTTAAGGCCCGTCTTGTTGCCAAAGGATATACTCAGATATTTGGGCTCGATTACAGTGATACCTTCTCTCCCGTGGCTAAAGTGGCTTCAGTCCGCCTTTTTCTATCCATGGCTGCGGTTCGTCATTGGCCCCTCTATCAGCTGGACATTAAAAATGCCTTTCTTCACGGTGATCTTGAGGA